ACTGGAACTCCTCAGACTGATGAAGCCCTCCAGATAGAGGGTGAAACATTTCTATAAAAAAGAAACTGTCCAGATGACCTGATGGAGAATTATTGGATTTGGTACATGGATAATGGAGCATGAATTTTGTTACCGTGAACCACTTTGGCTGTGGCTGCCTGCCTAGGAGGAGCTGACGGGGGACAGGATGGCCCCCAGAAACCATCTTAGCTCCATCAAACTGATTCCACTTAAGGTGTTTACTGCTTGGTGGGGAAACAGTTTACTGGAACTCCTCAGACTGATGAAGTCCTCCAGATAGAGGGCGAAACATCTCTATAAAAAAGAAACTGTCCAGATGACCTGACTGAGAATTATTGAACCACTAGATGGGTTTTATCGAACTGTTCAAAAAATATATTTTTCGATGAATGTCTTTAACCGATTAGTTTATCCATTTCAAGATACCACGTGGTATCGATAAGGTACCACGGTTGATCAACATTAGTCAACACAGAAGCTGCCTTACCTTGTTGAATTTGACAGATATTGAGCTAAACATTTATGTGTTTGTATCTGATAATTATTTACAACACATCTTCTGAGCGTGACATCTCCTGATATCTCATGAGAATGTGCATACTTTTATCTTCAAGGTTTGACCAAAACAGCAACAACTTTGTGGAGCACCTTCCACATTTTTGCAGGGTAAATAACATATTTTCTCGATCTTGTCTTACTCTGAGCATAATGGATCTCAGGTCCATTAGTCAATAAATGATGTTTTAGGACAGTAGTTCCTTTCAGCAGTGGAGTCTAATGGATCATTCCAGTATGCACTTCAGCAGCTGTGGTTTCATCAGTTCTTGGCACCGCCTGACTCTGCATTAATACAGAGCAAAAGAGTAATATGAATGCTTCGACGTTATAAATGTTACAATCGTCCTACAAAAAACAGTTTAATATTTCAGAAGAAACCATTAGTTTAATACTGAGCATGCCTTAAAAGAATGTACATCATCTTTGTTCCCCCAAAGTTTTAGACAAAGATCATCTTATGTTCAGAAGGAATGGATTGCAGCCCCTTTGGGCAAACCTTAAAATTAACATTATATGTTTAATCTTGGGCAGCACGGTGGCGCAACTGGTAGAGCTGCTGCCTCTCAGCGAACAGGTTGCTGGTTCAAACCCCGGTCCAGGGGCCTTCTGGGTGGAGTTTGCATGTTCTCTCCGTGCATGCGTGGGTTTTCTCCAGGTACTCCGGTTTCCTCCCACAGACCAAAAACATGCATGTTAGGCTGATTGGTAACTCTAAATTGTCCCTAGGTGTGAGTGAGAGAGTGAATGGTTGTTTGTCTCGTTTATCTCTATGTGGCCCTGTGATGGACTTGCGACCCGTCCAGGGTGTACCCCGCCCCTCGCACAGTGATTGCTGGACATGGGCACCAGCGACCCCCGTGACCCAAAATGGAATAAACAGGTAAAGATAATGGATGGATGTTTAATCTTGTGTGAGATATTATGTTCAGAGTATGTGCTGTATTGTATATGACTCTCGGTTTCTACCCCATTCTAATTTCAAGATAGTATTTGTAAAATAAACTGAATAATAGCCAATTTGGGGTTTTCTAATGTTAATTAGCTTGACTGCTATCTTGAACTGGATTAATTTCAAAAGGAAATCCATTGTAGATTTACATAAAATTATGAAGTTTTAAATAAATGTGTCCATCCATCCATCCATCCATCCATTTTCTTTACCCGCTTATTCCATTTTGGGTCACGGGGGTCGCTGGTGCCCATGTCCAGCAGTCACTGTGCGAGGGGCGGGGTACACCCTGGACGGGTCGCAGGTCCATCGCAGGGCCACATAGAGACAAACGAGACAAACAATCATTCACTCTCTCACTCACACCTAGGGACAATTTAAAGTTACCAATCAGCCTAACATGCATGTTTTTGGACTGTGGGAGGAAACCGGAGTACCCGGAGAAAACCCACGCATGCACGGAGAGAACATGCAAACTCCACCCAGAAAGGCCCCTGGACCGGGGTTTGAACCAGGGACCTGCTTGCTGAGAGGCAGCAGCTCTACCAGTTGCGCCACCGTGCTGCCATAAATGTGTCCAGTGGTTCATAAAATATTTTGATAAAATACAGATAAATAAGAATAGAATAGAATAGAATAGAATAGAAACAGCCTTTATTGTCCCACGGATGGGAAATTCCAGTGTATCAGCAGCAACAGCAGCAACAGATAAAAAGATAAAAAGATTTCACACAAAAGCTCCTAAAATGTTAATAAAAATACAATATATAAAGAAATAAGATAAACAATATCAATAATAATGTTCAATATGTATTGGAACATTGAGAATGGCAGACTATTTACAGTACAGTATTACAGGCAGAGTGTGTGTTTTAGCAGAGGTCAGCATGTATTTAATCCTTATTGAAGTTGTTGGGAACAGTGATGGTTGTAGAGTCTAACAGCTGCTGGGAGGAAGGACCTGCGGTAATGCTCCTTTGTGCATTTAGGATGCAGTAATCTGTCACTGAACGAGCTCTCTAGTTCAGCAACAGCTTCATGCATGGGGTGGGAGACGTTGTCCAGCAATGATGTTATTTTAGCTAGAGTCCTTCTGTCTCCCACCACCTGCACTGGGTCGAGGGGGCGTCCAAGCACAGAGCTGGCCTTCTTGATGAGCTTAGCTAGCTTCTTCTTCTCAGCTGATGATAAGCTGCTGTTCCAACACACAACACCATAGAAGATGGCTGATGCCACTACCTAGTCAAAGAAGTTCTTCAGGAGCACCCCCTGCACTCCAAAAGACCTCAGTCTCCTCAGCAGGTAGATTCTGCTCTGACCCTTCCTGTAAAGTGCATCAGTGTTGTGAGACCAGTCCAGTTTATTGTTCAGGTGAACACCCAGGTACTTGTAAGAGTCCACAATCTCGATGTTCACACCCTGGACGTTCACCGGGGTCAGTGAGGTGGACCTGTGCCTGCGGAAATCCACAACCAGTTCCTTAGTTTTAGCAGTGTTGATCAGGAGGTGGTTCTGCTGGCACCAGTCCACAAAGTCTTGAGTCCGCTGTCTGTACTCTGAGTTGTCCTCACCTGTGATGAGGCCGACTATGGCAGAGTCATCGGAAAACTTTTGCATATGGCAGTGTGGGGAGTCGATGGTGAAGTCTGCAGTGTAGAGGGTGAAGAGGAACGGTGCCAGCACAGTTCCCTGTGGGACCCTCGTACTGCAGACCAGCATGTCAGAGACACAGCCCTGTGTCCTCACATACTGTGGGCGTCCAGTGAGGTAATCCTGGATCCACTGGGACATGTGGTGATCCACTCCTGATAACTCCAGCTTGTCCCGCAGAAGTCCTGGCTGGATGGTGTTGAAAGCACTGGAGAAATCAAAGAACATGATCATCACGGTGCTTCCAGGTTTCTCTAGGTGGGTCAGAGCTTGGTGCCTGAGGTAGATGATGGCGTCATCCACCTCGATGCCAGGCCGGTAGGCAAACTGCAATGGATCTAATGAAGACCTCACCAGGTGGCGCAAATTGTTGAGGACCAGCCTCTCGAGGGTCTTCATCAAATGTGAGGTCAGAGCCATCGGCCTGTAGTTACTGAGGTCCTTGGGATGTTTGGTTTTTGGTACCGGTACCACACAGGAGGTCTTCCACAGTTGTGGTACTTTCCCCAGCTTCAGGCTCAGATTGAACATAAATCCCGTGATGCCACACAGTTGATCTGAGCAGCACCTCAGGAGCCTGGAGCTAATTCCATCTGGACCTGCAGCTTTACGCACCTTGAGCTTTCACAGCTCATTCCTCACCTGAAGAGTTGAGAGGGACAAGATGGAGGTGGGGGAAGGGTGCTGTGAAATGAAGTCTTCTGGAATGAAGGGGGAGGCTAATGGCTGAGAGCTGAGAGGTGTGAATTCCTGATAAGTTGGCAGTCATTAAAGGTGATGGGGCTGCAGCAGGGGGGACAGGGCTGGAGTAGGGGTGGGGGTGTGTGGCAGATCAAATCTGTTAAAGAACTGGTTCAAGTCATTCACCCACCCTTTGTCTCCTACAGCCTGGGGGCTTGATTTGTGGCCTGATATGTTTTTAAGGCTCCTCCACACCCCACTGATGTTGTTCTGCTTCAGCTGATCCTCCATCTTTTTCCTGTAGATGTTTTTTCCATCCCTAATCTTTCTTCTCAGTTCTTTCTGCACAGCTCTTAGTTCCTCCTTGTTACCTGATCTAAAGGCTCTTTTCTTCTCCTTCAGGAGAGTCTTTATTTCAGGATTAATCCATGGTTTGTTGTTGGAGAAATGCCCTACTGTCCTGATGGGCACAGTGTTGTCCACACAGAAATTGATGTAGTCCGTGATGCAGTCCGTGATGCTGTCAATGTCCTCCCCATGAGGAGTACAGAACTCTTCCCACACAGTGGAGCTGAAACAGTCCCTCAGAGCTTCTTCACAGTCCATTGCTTCACTGTGCTTGTCACAGCTGGTTCTCATACACAGGCTGCAGATGAACCAGATTGTGATCTGAGCCCCCCAGGGGAGGCAGAGGTGATGAACTGTATGCCTCCTTGGTATTGGCAAAAAGTAGATCAAGTGTGTTAGTATTTCTGGTGTGGCAGGTGACATACTGGGTGAAGGTAGGGAGAGTGGAGGACAGGGAAACATGATTAAAGTCCCCAGAGATCAGAAAGAGGGCCTGTGGGTGCTATGTTTGGAGTCTGCTGGTGGTGGTGTGAATGATGTCACAGGCTGCAACAGCATTAGCAGAGGGCGGGACATACACCGTTATCACAATAACGTGTGAAAACTCCTGCGGAAGATAGTGTGGTCTCATACCAACTGCTAGAAGTTCAATGTCATTACTGCAGAGGGTCTGTTTGATGGTTAAATGTCCAGCGTTACACCATCTATCATTCACAAACACAGCCACACCCCCTCCTCTCTTCTTACCACTCTCTCTGGTTCTGTCCGCACAAAGTAAATGAAAGCCATCCATGTTAATATTTGAGTCCGTGGTCAGTCAGCCACGTCTCCGTCAGGCACATGAGGCTGATCTCCCGGTAGCTCCTCAGATGTCTCGTTAGAGCCGCCAGCTCGTCCACTTTGTTGTGAAAAGATCTCATGTTTCCCATAATGATGGATGGGAGGACAGGTCTGTACCTTCTGCCCTGGCTGCAACGCCCTATGCCTGCACATCTCCCGCGTCTCCTCCTTCTCAGCTCGCTGGGGCCAACAGGTCGCTCTGCAGGAGGAGGCACAGCGGAGCTGCGAAGGGAAAGCAGCTGGTCCCGAGAGTAAACAATAGGTGCATGGTCGCTCACACCTTCTCCAAAAATAGAAACCATAAAAAAATAAAATAAAAACAAAGTTTTCAAGAAAAAAATCAGTTCCATTGTTGCCAAGCTGCTGAGACGAGCTACCTGCTTGCGCGGCGCCGGAAAAAAAAAAAAGCACACACGAGCAACAATATTATGTTAAACTTTTGCCTTTTTACGGCGAACCAGTCTTGACCTGTCCGACAGTGATGTTCAGCAAAAACCTGCTGAAGAGTCTGCATCACTAAGATCTGCTTCTTGTCTAATCTGAGGAATCAAACTGTATTTTAAGTTTCTCACAAAATTGTGTGTGTGTGTTTGTTTGTTTGTGTGTGCGACCTGTAGCGTTTTAGCATGGAGGGCCTGTCCAACATCCTGCAGACGAGCATCAGACAGACATTTGGAAGTACAGGGAATGAGAAGCAGGTGAGGTCATTCAGAGATCACTTTTTACCCTCTACTCCTTTCTGTGTATCCAGTTAATCACAGGAACACCTGGACATGTCTTCAGTCCATCACAGGGACACATATAGACAAATGAGACAAACAACCATTCACACTCTCTCTCACCTAGGGACAATTTAGAGTTACCAGTCAGACTAACGTGCATGTTTTTGGTCTGTGGGAGAAAACCGGAGTACCCGGAGAAAACCCATGCATGCACAGAGAGAACATGCAAAGTTCAACCAGAAAGGTCCTTGGAGGCAAACTTGTAACCATCTTGGTGTGAGGCAACAATTTTAATCACTGTTCCACAAAACAGTCCTCGTTCCATTTAAGACAATTCCTGTTTGGTTTCATTCTTACAGCGTGGTGTATTCATCTAATAAATGGATTGTACTTATACAGCACCTTTCTATTTAATCAAGATACTCAAGCTCTTTACAACACAATCTGTGCCCTCATTTACCTTGACCTACACATTCATACAGCACTTTACTACACACACACACATTCATGCAACACTCTACTACATCTCTACAAAAATAATCTGAATCTGTAGAGACTAATCAGAGCTTTAGATCACATTCATACACTGATGGGACACACATCAGAGACAATGAGGGTTCATTGTCAAGTCAAGTCAGATTTATGTATAGAGCACATTTTAAACAGAAACTGTTACCAAAATGCTTAACAAAAATATCACAACATCAAATAAAAAGTAACAAAATATATTTACAGCACATGGAATAAAAATATAAAACAGAAAACATAATTAGAAACAATGAAATACTAAATCAGATCACCTTGTGTCAAAAGTCAAGGAAAAATAACAAAAAAGCATAAACTCAGTCAGAAACGATGAAATACTAAATTTAAATCCGATCACCCTGTGTTAAATTTCAACGAGTATAGGTGTGTTTTTAGGAGAGTTTTAAAAGCAGAGACTAAGGTGGCCTGTCAATTGTTGATGGGCAGATTGATCCAGAGTTTAGGGCCCACGACTGAAAACGCCCAATCTCCTCTGAGCTTCAGCCTGGTTTTTGGTACCACCAAAAACCACGCTGGTCTGATGATCTAAAAACCTAAGAAGGAGCATAAGGATGAAGAAGGTCGGAGAGGTATAAGGGTGCAAGGCTGTTAATGCACTTGAATGTCAGTAGGACCATTTTAAAATTGATTCTGACATGCACAGGAAGCCAGTGAAAGGAGGACAGAACCGGTGAAATGTGCTCAAGCCTGCGAGTTCTTGTTAAAAGCCGAGCTGCCGCATTTTGTACGAGCTGGAGACGTGAAAGTGAAGCCTGACTAACCCCAACATAAAGTGAGTTACAGTATTCCAGCCGGGTTGTAATGAATACGTGGACTAATTTTTCAAGGTCAGATCTGGACAGAACTGATTTGAGCTTAGCTATCTGCCCTTAGCTAAAAGAAGCTTTTTTGTAGAACAGAGTTGATCTGTTTATTAAACTTAAAGTCTGAGTCTAACTATCCTGAGATGGGTAACTGACTGCTTTAGATGTGGATGAAGGGAGTCCAAGTTTATAGGATCAGTGACAGCAGTAGAACTTGAGTTAAACACAATGACCTCAGTTTTCTGATCATTAAAACTCAAGAAGCTCACTGCCATCCAAGTCTTGATGTCATCAAGACATTTTAGCAAAGGGTGGATGGAGCAGGAACTGTTAGGTTTTAAAGGCAGATAAATCTGAGAATCATCGGCGTAACAATGAAACAAAATATCATGTTTCCTCATGATAGACCCAAAGGGGTGCAGATACAATGAGGACAGAAGGGGTACAAGAATAGAGCCTTGCAGGACCCCACAGGAAAGAGGGACAGAAGCAGATAAATGATTGCCAAAGTTCACACAAAAACTCCTGTCACTCAGATACGAATGGAACCATTCTAGCGTCACACCTGTAATCCCAACCCAGTGCTCTAGCCATTAGTGGTGAAGAAAGTACTCAAACACTGTACTTTAGTAAAAGTACAAATAAACAAACAAAAATGTACTCTAATAAAATTAGAAGTACCACATTAACATTTTTACTTAAGTAAAAGTAAATAAGTACTTGCTTTTAAAATACTTAAAATATTAAAAGTAAAAGTATTTGCTGAATGTATTACATAATGCAATGGTCTACATATCTTTAAGTCTGCCTACCGTATGCATATTTTCTGTAATACATTAATATTGTTGAGCCATTTTAATGAACAATGCTGCAGATAATACGTTTTTATTGTGTTTACTCTGTGACACAGTTCACAGTTGGACTTGTGATTCTGTGCGTCAGAATTTCAGGGATGACCTGCAGAGTTAAATGCCATTAATCAAAACAAGAAAGACGAATGATTATACTTTTAAAAGTTTTTATTTAACACAAAGCAAAACCAATGTGCCATTTTAACTGCAGTAAACACATTTAAGTAAAAGTTGTCTGCCTGAACAAAAGGGGCATTAGACACAACTGACAAAGGAATAGGCACTGATCATTTCCACTGATATTTCAACTCCAGTTTGTCATCAACTCTAGTTAAAATACTGTAGTCGACCTTGTAATGGGTCAATATTGAACAATATGTTAACTTCCTGATACCATATTTAAAACTTGGACCTGAGTGTCGAGCCATTTGGAGACATCTCTTGTATCCTTTCCTAACGTCCCATGAACTGACACATTTTAATATTGCAGCAAGAATTTCTTGTTCAAGTTCAGAAGAAGTTGGTTTTCAAAGATTTTTGAGTTCAATCTGGCTCTTTTGGGAGAGAGAATCTGTTCTGTTGTACTGAGCAGTCTTTCAATAAGGACATGGGTGGAGCATATCTTCTGGCCGACTCTCTTGCGCTGGAATACA